CATATATGGGTTGCCCATCTCTAGTCTTTCGAATTCTATGTTTGCTATTAAATTTATGAATACACATTCGAATTTATTTAATTAAGTGCGCAGAATTAGATTAGGTCGAAATAGTCATTAATGGTTATCCGTTGTGAATGCTTCAGCTCGGAATGGTAAATCTTCATTGACGTCTTGTTGTATGATCATGTTCGCTCCTTCATCTCGAACACCTAATCTTTTGGATTTCTTCTTTCTGTGCGCTTCCTTGTTTTCGAGTAAATCCTGGAACAACAAGAAAGCGCAAAAGTTGAGATTTTGTAAAAAACAGTGGTGCAGCATTTGAATTAGGAAAGTAAAGGAAAGCGTATTTGGAAAGAGAAGAAAGTCATTCTACTACTGAGCTAGAAGCTCAAATATTTTGCCTTGCACTGATATAGCAGAAGCAAACAAATCTAGAAAGAATCTTGTACGAAAACGTACCAATTGAAGTAGCGGTGATTCAATTTCTTCCTGAAAAGACCATTTTGATTGATCAATCAGATGCAATAAGTTGAACCATTAACAAAGAGCTAATTTTGCGTGTTTACGCTTTAGGAGACGCGATGGTGACACTTTTAACGCTGGGATTGTTTTACGTGGTGTACGTTTGTATTGTAAGCAACTATTAACATCTTGGATGACGGCGTCTATGGGTTCCCAAAGCCCCGCAGACTGCTCTCCGTACAAAAAGAAAAAAGTGCTGGACCTGGAAAGGATATGCTCCTGCAGGAGATGTGGGCCACCAATGGACCACATCGCCCTTGGAAGCAATGGTGGGCTATAGATGGCTATAGTGGGTTTGAAGAAATTCACTATTTCCTGAATGCAAACCTCGTCTTGTGTTTCCAGATTCCTTCTTTCGCGCTGAAATCAATGGTGAAGGCATTGCTCAAAACATCGCAGACGTGAACGCACCTCTTGAGCGGTCAGTTCACTAGCTGGGGGTGGCTTCCACTAAAAAAGTATCTACCAATAAATTCAATAAACGACAATTCGGAACACTCACATCGCGTATGGACGTAATCAATTCGTTGGATAAGGGTTCAGGCTGAAGTCAGTATGAAATTAGAATCAATAAAAACCTCGCTATGCGCAAGGCAAAGAAACACATGCCTTACCTTTCCGTCTGGATAAACTTTCCAGGAGTGCTAGAAGACCAAAATATAGTTTTTTCAAGAATGAGTAGGAGTCATACCTGTCTGACAGATGGTTCGTATGGGTCCCACGCTACCTATAATTACATTATAATAGCTATTAACAGCTTTTATGTACGTCATGCAAAGAGGAGCTCACTTTTGGCATCTGAGCCGGTGGCGCTTGTTTTGCAACCTACAAAGCTTGCAAAAAAGGAATCAAATGACTTCCCCGAGAAAATAAACATACTTCAGGTTTTACAGGTAGAATGATTTCCTCGTCTTCCTGAATTTTTAATGTAAATAGGTATAAAAAGCTCGGCGGGAGAGAATGATAACCAGATGCACAGCGGTAAAGTGAGTAATTCGCACAATTGCTGCGGCGCGGCAAGAACACTTGCAGTCTTACAGATCATTATGCTAAGTGTAATTATTCCACAAATTCTATTGATTTTGAATAAATTCTCGTTCTGTTAGACTTGTTTGTCAACTCTACCTGAGTTACGTCAAACTTTGTCGGTCTTGCAGCTATCTGTGGAGAAACCTGAACATGATT